TACTGTGTGCAACTCATGTATGCCTGTGCCGTCATCTTCACGTATCCCATACTCATGTTCGGTGCCATCGAAATGCTTTGGCCCCTAATCTATGAACGACTCACTCAATCGAAAACCAGTGATACGACTATAGAGATCAGCAATTATTTGTTCAGAACTTTCATGGTTTTGATAACTTGTGAGTGAATTATACTTTAATTAATTATAAGTTTGTCTGTGTTTTCTCATTTTCTCAGGTAGATTGTTAGGGCGATGTCATTAGTGGTCAATTAATAGCAATAATTAACCTATCTTTAATAATTCCATAAATATCATTAATTATCATATGAATTTATTAGTTAATTGATTCATTAGATGTTTCATTTTTGACAGAATATGTGTCAAATGATGTAAACTGAATTTGTTTTTAAAATCACCGGATGACATTTAAATTTATTATGTTTCCGTAAACTTATACTAACTTTAGTAAGTTATAACTCAAAACAAATACAGTGTACACGATAAATTATATAAAATTTTTGAAATTCTGAAACATTTCTAATAAATCATTCAATTGATAAATTATTAAATGATAGGTATTTAACAATTTAGAGCATATCGCCACCAATTCTCCCCCAATGATTGTGTTAACAATCGTTTTACGAAATACATTATAAAATAAACTCAAAGTATAATCAAAAAATGTTTATAAATCCATTAAAAAATAATATTAAATTTCAATGAATATCACATTTAGTCGCCTTCGCAGCCCTGATACCAAAGCTGGAGTTAATAATCTCATTATTTGGAGCCGTAAGCATGAGGTCTGACATTAAATTAACAACAAAATGAAAAACTAATTCAAAATTCTGTGCCCAAAATCTTTGTCCACAAACACACAGTTTCATTGCAATCATATTCCCACCGATTCTGCATTCGTTGACATTTTGGAATCAAACCCAAAGTAAGGCTCAAAATAACTTACAAATCAATTATTTATAACGAGAGACAAAAATTATGATTTAATACCATAAGCAAAAAAATCAATGTTTTCTCTCATCTGACATATACTCACTCTCTCTCTCTCTCTCTCTCTCTCTCTCTAACTGTAGACCGAATCAAATTTGTTTGGATGAATGCAATGAATGGCATACTCATAGTGTTTGGTCTCATAGGGTTTGGTTTTGGCACATATTATAGCATAAATGATATTATTCATGAATTCTCAACAGAGGATTTGCAAACATAAACTCAAAATGAAAAGTTTGTGATATAAAAACACTTCGCCCTTTCTGTACAATAGTGTTCAGTGTATGTGTTATATACAGAATTTACAGAATAACTATACATAGAATATCTATAGTGTAATCCGTGTGAATTGTATTATAAACTATTCATATATTGGACTACAATTTCTACGTCAACTTTACGGTACAGTTGTGTCGCAAATTGATTCAATCAATTCAAACTCATTATATCAATAGAGTGGCACATATTTGATGAAATTATATCAATTTATATCTAATATCTAGACATGAAATCTGTGTGTCTCTCACACAAGCGATCGATAAGAATACTATATATTCAGTGGAAAAAGTGATTCTTCCTGTGGATTCAAAAGGACCAAAAATTTTGTACTCATTTTTTGCGCTACCCTTCCCTTTCTCTACGAAAACATTAATCAATAGAGAATAAGTTGAGTGTCATTTGACAACAAATAAGTGGATCTTATATTATACTAGAGTACAGGCATTAGAGGCAAAGTTAAGACTCTTTTGTGTATCGATTTTCTTTTCACTCAACGTTTTGCACAACTATTTTAGTATTTAAATTAATGTCTATTGTATTGCATTGTATGCATACTTACTATACTCTACTTTAACTCAATTACAGCCAACTTCTGTTACCTTCGCTTTTATACCACTATTTATTGTATTTTATTATACATTTAAGTCAAACAATAGTATCTGAAAATCTTTTCGCTTTTTTGTATTCAAATATTCATCACTAATAGACTTTCGCTTTTGTTTTGCGTTCAAATTAATTAATTTTGTTTTAATTTATTGTTTTCTTTTCAATTACATTATACACAAACATTTCGGAAATTTTTTTGTTTTATCGCCCAAAATACCTATTGAAAGTTGTATGTATTGTGTGTTTTTGCAAACTTGTCGTTCATTTCGTATAACATTATAATAATAATTCAATATTAATGTCTCAAAATGTTTTGTGTTGGATCTTATATTATACTAGAGTACAGGCATTAGAGGCAAAGTTAAGACTCTTTTGTGTATCGATTTTCTTTTCACTCAACGTTTTGCACAACTATTTTAGTATTTAAATTAATGTCTATTGTATTGTATTGTATGCATACTTACTATACTCTACTTTAACTCAATTACAGCCAACTTCTGTTACCTTCGCTTTTATACCACTATTTATTGTATTTTATTATACATTTTAGTCAAACAATAGTATCTGAAAATCTTATTCGCTTTTTTGTAGTCAAATATTCATCACTAATAGACTTTTGCTTTTGTTTTGCGTTAAAATTAATTAATTTTGTTTTAATTTATTGTTTTCTTTTCAATTACATTATACACAAACATTTCGGAAATTTTTTTTGTTTTATCGCCCAAAATACCTATTGAAAGTTGTATGTATTGTGTGTTTTTGCAAACTTGTCGTTCATTTCGTATAACATTATAATAATAATTCAATATTAATGTCTCAAAATGTTTTGTGTTTCTCGAAATACTTTTCTGCATTTTTATTACACATAATTTGCTTTCCTTTGCAAATGTATACTAAAAAATGAAAAAACTTATACTAAAACTGATACTTGTTTTCAGTTCCCATAATATTCTTGAAACAAATTCGCTGAATGTTTTATTCGCGCATAATATGCAATAATAACAATAATAATAACTCATAAAATGACTCTTAAAGTGACTGCAAAAATATATATAACTTATAAAAACTATTTCATCAAATATTATGCAAACAATGTTTTATGAAATTTTGTTTTATTGTTATTCGTGTTTTGAAACCATTAGTTTTCGTTTCTGTAATATTATTTAAAACTTTACAACAAATTTGTAATTCTTTTATACTTTTCTAAACATTATCTAAATTCAAATGTGAAAACTTGTTTAGTTTTTATTTTTTTGTCAATTCATTTTACTTTTACCACAAAAACTTTTGCTTTACAATTAAATTTTTTTAGTATTGGTTTTGCATTTCTTTTTTTTAATTCACTTTTGATTTCACAGAAAAAAATGTCAAAATATAATCCAATTTCAAATCCAAATAAATGTGAAATTAATTCAAAATGTTGTCACCTATTAATGTGTATTACAATTAAAATTTATAACTAATTTGTTTTTAAGTAATTTGTTATTTAATTGTTTATATAGTTGTATTTAAAATCAATTTGAATATTACTAACATATGTTTTCATAATTATATTTAGTGCACACTTTGAGTAAAAACTAAATATATTAATATTTATATATTTATTAAATAAATATTTATCTTGTTTAAAATATAATTATAACTAAAATATATGTGACATTCAATTATTAAATTACATTAAGAAAAACCATGTCTTGAGTCCAAAGTCTAAATGCAGGGAAAGTTAGTTTGAAATGTTTTTGAAACACGAAATTGAATGGCAATGAGAGCATAGGATAGAGATATGCAAAATATATGAGAAGCTTCTCCTTTTCTGTGTCTATAATTGCATTAGAATTTGGACTTAAAATACAATTCCTCTTATAAATGAAAATAATTGAATTAAAATATTATTTTTTCGTCGTTTTGTTTTTGCAGAGAAAAATTTGTGAGACTTTGTGTTCACAACGAAAATAATAATAAGAATAAAACTCTATTTAAATAATTTAAATAAATAAATAATTCAAACCTAGAAAAACGATGCAATAATAAAAGATTTCTTTTTGCCAATAGTCAATAAAACTCCTAATAATAGATATATAGACTTATATTTTGCAACATATAAAGTGAAAACAAATAGTCACTCAATATCTTAATTTACATAATCATTAATTTTAATTTAATTAAGTTTTCAAAAAGTCAATATGCATTATATATATTGGAATTTTCGTGTAATTGTTTGTCAAAACATAATATAGTTTGAAAAAAGTGAGCCAACAATTTGATAGTTTAATTCAATAAATTCTTAAATATTTATCAAAATGAAAAATATTGTAAATTTTTAAATTCAATTACTTATTTAATATATATTTGTTTTTTAATTAATTTCAATAATTACTGCATACTCGGCGTTTTTTCGATAGTAAATTTGATTTAATTTATATATAATTTCTGTTGTAATTTAATTAATTTTAATATTTATTTTAGAAATTCTTGTCCTAATTTTGCGCAAAAAATCAAAACATTTCGTTTCACTTTTCATAATATATTAACAATTTGTTTGTAAAACTAAAGAATAAAATTATTTCAAAAATTCATTATTTAATTAATTCATTAATTGATGCTAAATGTGATGAGAGAGTAGGTGTCGAGCAATATGTTTATACATTTACAGTCCATTTCCATGTAATCAATCAATTGTTTAATAATTATAATACTTCTTATGAATTTGCTGTTTGAAGTGAATGTTATATAATTGTGATCTCAAGTGAAAATATAAGTGAAATTCTTTATATACTATTAAAAACTATTATTTTAATTGTGAGTGACTTCATACTTGAAACACAAAAAATAATTCAAAAAATTTCATATTAATGACTAAAATTATCTGATATAATGATCACAAATAAATGGCCTCACAAATGGTTTATCGTGTGATTTCCCTATGCTTTCCATTCAAATGAGAAGTAAAACCTATTAAAATGCAATTCACTTACTGTATAATTGTTTGTCAATTACTAGAATAAAGTCTATTTATATATATTTATATTTATTGTCAATTAAATAAAATTTGAATAATAAATTAATTAATTGGTTTAGATCACTAGAGAATGCTTGTCATTTGTGCTAGGTCATTAGTCCGCACGACAACTCAATAGTAGGTCTCCAACTCGACCCAACCGCCCGGATTGCGGCGCAAAATGAAACGCCTGGCCTCGTCGTAGAAGAATATTAGCAGCGAGAAAGGCAACGCTGGGAACCACCACGAGAACCTATAGCATGGCACCGGTACGTTAGAGCTCAGGTAGCATATCATTCAGTAATATTATAGTCTATGTTTTCACTCTAAGTACCGCACAAACAAAGTTTACTTAAGAGATGAAAAAGTGTTTTTGTGCTCAACTTTCACACACTCTTCACACAAATTATTTACTTTTCTCCACTTTTTCGCTTTTTTCGCTTTTTTCGACTCTCACTCGCATCACATAATTGAAAAGAATTGATAATAAATTGATATTTACTTTAATGGATATAATCTGAGAAGTATAGGCATTCCCGGACAGTAGGATAAAAACGCT